TGGTCCGGAAGCTTGCCTGGTCCAAGAGCTTGCCTGGTCCTCGAGCCTGCCTGGTCCAAGAGCTTGCGTGGTCTAGGAGCTTTCGTGGTCCAGAAGCTTGCGTGGTCCAGGAGCTTGCCTGGTCCAAGAGCTTGCCTGGTCCAAGAGCTTGCGTGGTCTAGAAGCTTGCCTGGTCTACGAGCTTGCCTGGTCTAGCAGCTTGCCTGGTCCAGGAGCTTGCTTGGTCCAGGAGCGTGCTTGGTCCACGAGTTTGCCTGGTCTAGAAGCTTGCCTGGTCCAAGAGCTTGCCTGGTCTAGGAGCTTGCATGGTCCAAGAGCGTGCCTAGTCAAGGAGCTAGCGTGGTCCAGGAGCTATCCTGGTCCAGGAGCTTGCGTGGTCCAGGAGCTTGCCTGGTCCAGGTTGGTGCCTGGTCCACGAGTTTGCTTGGTCCAGAAGCTTGCCTGGTCCAAGAGCTTGCCTGGTCTAAGAGCTTGCATGGTCCTGGAGCGTGCCTGGTCCAAGAGCTTGCCTGGTCCAAGAGCTATCCTGGTCCAGGAGCTTGCCTGGTCCAGAAGCTTGCCTGGTCCAGGAGCTTGCCTGTTCGAGGAGCGTGCCTGGTCCAAGAGCTTGCCTGGTCCAAGAGCGTGTATGGTCCACGAGCGTGCCTGGTCCATGAACTTGCCTGGTCAGGAGCTTGCCTAGTCAAAGAGCTTGCCTGGTCCAAGAGCTTGCCTGGTCCAGGAGCTTGCCTGGTCCAGGAGCTTGCTTGGTTCAAGAGCTTGCCTGGTCTAGGAGCTTGCCTGGTCCAGGAGCTTGCCTTGTCCAGGTTTGTGCCTGGTCCACGAGTTTGCTTGGTCCAGAAGCTTTCCTGGTCCAGGAGCTTGCCTGGTCTAAGAGCTTGCATGGTTCAGGAGCGTGTGTGGTCCAAGAGCTTGCTTGGTCCAGGAGCTATCCTGGTCCAGGAGCTCGCCTGGTCCAGGAGATTGCCTGGTCCAAGAGCTTGCCTGTTCCAGGAGCGTGCCTGGTCCAAGAGCTTGCCTGGTCCAAGAGCGTGCATGGTCCACGAGCGTGCCTAGTCCAGGAGCTTGCTTGGTCTAGGAGCTTGCCTGGTCAAGGAGCATGCCTGGTCCAGGAGCTTGCCTGGTCCAGGAGCTTGCCTTGTCCACGAGCCTGCCTGGTCCAAGAGCTTGCCTCGTCCGGGAGCGTGCACGGTCCACGAGCATGCCTGGTCCAGGAGTTTGCCTGGTCCAGGAGCTTGCGTGGTACAATAGCTTGCTTGGTCCAGAAGCCTGCCTGGTCCAAGAGCTTGCCTGGTCCAAGAGCGTGCCAGGTCCAAGAGCTTGCGTGATCCAGGAGCTTGCGTGGTCGAGGAGCTTGCCTGGTCTAGGAGCTTCCCTGGTCCAGGAGCTTGCCTGGTCCAAGAGCTTGCCTGGTCCAAGAGCTTGCGTGGTCCAGGAGCTTGCCTGGTCCAGGAGCTTGCTGGTCTAGGAGCTTGCCTGGTCCAGGAGCTTGCCTGGTCCAGGAGCTTGCCTGGTCAAAGAGCTTGCCTGGTCCAGGAGTTTGCCTGGTCCAGAAGCTTGCCTCGTCCAAGAGCTTGCCTGGTCTAGGAGATTGCATGGTCCAGGAGCGTGCCTGGTCCAGGAGCTTGCCTGGTCCACGAGCTATCCTGGTCCAGGAGCTTGCCTGGTCCAGGAGCTTGCCAGGTCCAGGAGCTTGCCTGTTCCACAAGCATTCCTCGTCCAGGAGCTTGCCTTGTCTAGGAGCTTTCTTGGTCCGTTAGCTTGCCTGGTCCAGGAGCTTGCCTTGTCCAGGAGCTTGCCTGGTCCAGGAGCTTGCGTGAACCAATAGCTTGCTTGATCCAGAAGCCTGCCTGGTCCAAGAGCTTGCCTGGTCCACGAGCGTGCCTGGTCCAAAAGCTTGCGTGGTCTAGGAGCTCGCGTGGTCCAGGAGCTTGCCTGGTCCAAGAGCTTGCCTGGTCCAGGAGCTTTGCCTGGTCCAAGAGCTTGCCTGGTCCAAGAGCTTGCGTGGTCCAGGAGCTTGCCTGGTCCAGGAGCTTGCCTGGTCTAGGAGCTTGCCTGGTCCAGGAGCTTGCCTGGTCCAGGAGCGTGCCTGATCCACGAGTTTGCCTGGTCCAGAAGCTTGCCTGGTCCAGGAGCTTGCCTGGTCTAGGAGCTTGCATGGTCCAGGAGCTTGCCTGGTCCAGAAGCTTGCCTTGTCCAGGAGCTTGCCTGGTCCAGGAGCTTGCCTGTTCCACGAGCGTGCCTGGTCCACGAGCTTGCCTTGTCCAGGAGCTTTCTTGGTCCGTTAGCTTGCCTTGTCCACGAGCGTGCCTGATCCACGAGCTTGCCTGGTCCGAGAGCGTGCCTGGACCAGGAGTGTGCCTGGTCCACGAGCGAGCCTGGTCCAGGAGCTTGCCTGGTCCCGGAGCTTTCGTGGTCCAGGAGCTTGCCTGGTCCGGAAACTTGCCTGGTCCAGGAGCTTGCCTGGTCCTCGAGCCTGCCTGGTCCAAGAGCTTGCGTGGTCCAGGAGCTTTCGTGGTCCAGAAGCTTGCCTGGTCCAGGAGCTTGCCTGGTCCAAGAGCTTGCCTGGTCCAAGAGCTTGCGTGGTCTAGAAGCTTGCCTGGTCCACGAGCTTGCCTGGTCTAGGAGCTTGCCTGGTCCAGGAGCTTGCTTGGTCCAGGAGCGTGCTTGGTCCACGAGTTTGCCTGGTCTAGAAGCTTGCCTGGTCCAAGATCTTGCCTGGTCTAGGAGCTTGCATGGTCTAGGAGCGTGCCTAGTCCAGGAGCTAGCCTGGTCGAGGAGCTATCCTGGTCCAGGAGCTTGCATGGTCCAGGAGCTTGCCTGGTCTAGGATATTGCCTGTTCCACGAGCATGCCTGGTCCAGGAGCTTGCCTTGTCCAGGAGCTTTCTTGGTCCGTTTGCTTGCCTGGTCCAGGAGCTTGCCTAGTCCAGGAGCTTTCTTGGTCCAAGAGCTTGCCTGGTCCAGGAGCTTGCCTGGTCCAGGAGCTTGCCTGGTCCAGGAGCTTGCCTGGTCCACGAGCCTGCTTGGTCCGAGAGCTTGCCTGGTCTTTGAGCTTGTCTGGTCTTTGAGCTTGCCTGGTCCAGGAGCTTTCCTGGTCTAGGACCTTGCGTGGTCCAAGAGCTTGCTTGGTCCAGAAGCCTGCCTCGTCCACGAACTTGCCTGGTCCAGGAGCGTGCCTTGTCGAAAGCTTGCGTAGTCCAGGAGCTTGCCTCGTCCAAGAGCTTGCCTGGTCCGAGAGCTTGCGTAGTCCAGGAGCTTGCCTGGTCTAGGAGCTTGCCTGGTCCAAGAGCTTCCTTGGTCCAGAAGCATGTCTGGTCCACGAGTTTGCCTGGTCCAGAAGCTTGCCTGGTCCAGGAGCTTGCCTGGTCTAGGATCTTGCATGGTCCAGGAGCGTGCCTGGTCCAGGAGCTTGCCTAGTCCAGGAGCTATCCTGGTCCAGGAGCTTGCTTGGTCAAGGAGCTTGCCTGTTCCAGGAGCTTGCCTGTTCAAGGAGCTTGCCTGGTCCAGGAGCTATCCTGGTCTAGGAGCTTGCCTGGTCCAGGAGCTTGCGTGGTCCAAGAGCTTGCCTTGTCCAGGAGCTTTCTTGGTCCGTGAGCTTGCCTGGTCCAGGAGCTTGCCTTGTCCAGGAGCTTGCCTGGTCCAAGAGCTTGCCTGGTCCAAGAGCTTGCGTGGTCCAGGAGCTTGCCTGGTCTAGGAGCTTGCCTGTTCCAGGAGCTTGCCTGGTCCAGGAGCTATCCTGGTCTAGGAGCTTGCCTGGTCCAGGAGCTTGCCTGGTCCAGGAGCTTGCGTGGTCCAAGAGCTTGCCTGGTCCAAGAGCTTGCCTGGTCCAGGAGCGTGCCTGGTCCACGACTTTGCCTGGTCCAGAAGCTTGCCTGGTTTAGGAGCTTGCCTGGTCTAGGAGCTTGCATGGTCCAGGAGTGTGCCTGGTCTAGGAGCTTGCCTGGTCCAGGAGCTATCCTGTTCCAAGAGCTTGCCAGGTCCAAGAGCTTGCCTGGTCCAGGAGCTTGCCTGTTCGAGGAGCGTGCCTGGTCCAAGAGCTTGCCTGGTCCAAGAGCGAGCATGGTCCACGAGCGTGCCTGGTCGAGGAACTTGCCTGGTCAAGGAGCTTGCCTGGTCAAGGAACTTGCCTGGTCCTGGAACTTGCCTGGTCCAAGAGCTTGTCTGGTTCATGAGCTTGTCTGGTCTAGGAGCTTGCCTGGTCCAGGAGCTTGCCTGGTCCAGAAGCGTGCCTGGTCCACGAGTTTGCCTGGTCCAGAAGCTTGCGTGGTCCAGGAGCTTGCTTGGTCTAGGAGCTTGCATGGTCCAGGAGCGTGCGTGGTCCATGAGCTTGCCTGTTCCGGGAGCTATCCTGGTCCAGGAGCTTGCCTAGTCCAGGAGCTTGCCTGGTCCAAGAGCTTGCTTGTTCCAGGAGCGTGCCTGGTCCAAGAGCTTTCCTGGTCCAAGAGCGTGCATGGTCCACGAGCGTGCATGGTCCAGAAGCTTGCCTGGTCCAGGAGCTTGCCTGGTCAAGGAGCTTGCCTGGTCCAGGAGCTTGCCTGGTCCAGGAGCTTGCCTTGTCCAGGAGCTATCCTGGTTCAGGAGCTTGCCTAGTCAAGGAGCTTGCCTGGTCCAGGAGCTTGCCTGGTCCAGGAGCTTGCGTGGTCCACGAGCCTGCGTGGTCCAAGAGCTTGCCTGGTCCAGGAGCGTGCATGGTCCACGAACGTGCCTAGTCCAGGAGTTTGCCCGGTCCAGGAGCTTGCCTGGTCCAGGAGCTTGCATGGTCCAATCTCTTGCTTGGTCCAAAAGCCTGCCTGGTCCAAGAGCTTGCCTGGTCCAGGAGCGTGCCTGGTCCAAGAGCTTGACTTATCCAGGACCTTGCGTGGTCGAGGAGCTTGCCTGGTCAAGGAGCTTGCCAGGTCCAGGAGCTTGCCTGGTCCAAGAGCTTGCCTGGTCCAAGAGCTTGCGTGGTCCAGGAGCTTGCCTTGTCCAGGAGCTTGCCTGGTCTAGGAGCTTGCCTAGTCTAGGAGCTTGCCTGGTCTAGGAGCGTGCGTGGTCCACGAGTTTGCCTGGTCCAGAAGCTTGCCTCGTCCAGGAGCTTGCCTGGTCTAGGAGCTTGCATGGTCCAGGAGTGTGCCTGGTCCAGGAGCTTGCCTAGTCCAGGAGCTATCCTGGTCAAGGAGCTTGCCTGGTCCAGGAGCTTGCCTGGTCCACGAGCGTCCACGTCCATGTCCAAGTCCACGTCCTTGTCTACGTCCACGTCCACGTCCATGTCCACGTCCACGTCCACGTCCACGTCCATGTCCACGTCCACGTCCACGTCCATGTCCACGTCTACGTCCATGTCCACGTCCACGTCCACGTCCACGACCACGTCCACGTCTACGTCCACATCCACGTCCACGTCTAAGTCCATGTCCACGTCCACGTCCACGTCCACGTCCACATCCACGACCATGTCTTCGTCCACGTCCACGTCCACGTCCATGTCCACGTCCAAGTTCTCCCCGTCCACGTCAACGTCCACGTCGACGTCCACGTACATGTCCATGTCCATGTCCACGTCCACGTCCACCTCCATGTCCATGTCCACGTCCATGTCCACGTCCACGTCCACGTCCACGTCCACGCCTATCTCCATGTCCATGTCCACGTCCATCTCCACGTCCACGTCCATGTCCACGTCCACGTCCACGTCCATGTCCACGTCCATGTCCACGTCCATGTCCAGGTCCATGTCCACGTCCACGTCCATGTCCACGTCCACGTCCACGTCCACGTCCATGTCCACGTCCACGTCCACGTCCACGTCCATGTCCACGTCCATGTCCACGTCCTCGTCGACGTCCACGTCCAGGTCCACGTCCACGTCCACGTCCACGTCCACGTCCACGTCGACGTCCAGGTCCACGTCGATGTCCAGGTCCACGTCCACGTCCACGTCCACGTCCACGTCCACGTCCACGTCCACGTCCGCGTCCACGTCCACGTCCACGTCCGCGTCCGTCAACGTCCGCGTCCACTTCCACGTCCACGTCCGCGTCCGTCCACGTCCGCGTCCACTTCCACGTCCACGTCCACGTCCCCGTCCACGTCCGCGTCCGTCCACGTCCACGTCCACGTCCACGTCCACGTCCGCGTCCACGTCCACGTCCGTCCACGTCCACGTCCACGTCCGCGTCCACGTCCGCGTCCACGTCCACGTCCGCGTCCGTCCACGTCCACGTCCACGTCCGCGTCCACGTCCGCGTCCACGTCCGCGTCCACGTCCACGTCCGCGTCCGCGTCCACGTCCACGTCCACGTCCACGTCCACGCACGTCCACGTCCACGTCCACGCACGTCCGCGTCCACGTCCACGTCCACGTCCGCGTCCACGTCCACGTCCACGTCCACGTCCACGCACGTCGACGTCCACGTCCACGTCTACGTCCCCTCCACGTCCACGTCCACGTCCACGTCCACGTCCACGTCCATCTCCACGTCCACGTCCACGTCCACGTCCACGTCCAGGTCCACGTCCACGTCCACGTCCACGTCCACGTCCACGTCCACGTCCACGTCCACGTCCACGTCCACGTCCACGTCCACGTCCAAGTCCACGTCCACGTCCACGACCACGTCCACGTCCACGTCCACGTCCACGTCCACGACAATGTCTTCGTCCACGTCCACGTCCACGTCCACGTCCACGTCCACGTCACGTCCACCTCCACGTCCACGTCCACGTCCACGACCAGGCCCACGTCCACGTCCACGTCCACGTCCACGTCCATGTCCACGTCCACGTCCATGTCCACGTCCACGTCCACGTCCACGTCCATGTCCACGTCCACGTCCACGTCCACGTCCATGTCCACGTCCAAGTCCTCCACGTCCACGTCCACGTCCACGTCCACGTCCATGTCCACGTCCAAGTTCTCCACGTCCACGTCCACCTCTACGTCCACGTCCATGTCCACGTCCACGTCCATGTCCACGTCCACGTCCACCATTTTCTCTACATATTTGCGTTAGTTACCTTTCAAACCCTTACGTTCACTAGATGAATTTATTTCCTTCCTTCTATTTGAGTGAGACCACTAGATTTCGTGTACTATGCGAGATCTGAGCAGTTCCGTTCTCCCAGGCATTTGCACTCTAAGTTCCCATACTGACCGACCTGGCCAATGCACCATTTTCCATATACATACGCATTAGATTCCGTTCGAACCTTATTAGCTCACTAGATTTATATATTTCCCACCTTCTGATCGAGTGAGACCGCTAGATTCCCTTTACTTTTTGAGAAATGAGCGTTTCCGTTCTCCTTGGCCCTACTTGCACTATAAGTGCGAAATGCCGGCCAGACTGGCCGATGCACCATTTTCTCTACACATGTGCGTTAGTTACCTTTCAAACCCTTACGTTCACTAGATGAATTTATTTCCTACCTTCTTTTTGAGTGAGACCACTAGATTCCGTGTGCTATGCGAGATCTGAGCGCTTCCGTTCTCCCAGGCATCATCACTCTAAGTTCCTATACTGACCGACCTGGCCAATGCACCATCTTCCATATAAATATGCTTTAGATTTCTTTCAAACCTTATTAGCTCACTAGATTTATATATTTCCCACCTTGTGATCGAGTGAGACCGCTAGATTCCCTCTACTTTTTGAGAAATGAGCGTTTCCGTTCTCCTTGGCCCTAGTTGCACTATAAGTGCGAAATGCCGGCCAGACTGGCCGATGCACAATTTTCTCTACACATGTACGTTAGTTACCTTTCAAACCCTTACGTTCACTAGATGAATATATTTCCTACTTTCTATTTGAGTGAGACCACTTGATTCCGTGTACTATGCGAGATCTGAGCGCTTCCGTTCTCCCTGGCATTTGCATTTTAAGTTCCGATACTGACCGACCTGGCCAATGCACCATTTTCTCTATACATGTGCGTTGAATACATTTCAAACCTTTTTAGCTGACTAGATTTATATATTTCCCACCTTCTGATCGAGTGAGACCGTTAGATTCCCTTTACTTTTTGAGAAACGAGCGTTTTCGTTCTCCCTGACCCCACCTGCACTATGAGTGCGAAATGCCGGCCAGACTTGCGGATGCACCATTTTCTCTACACATGTGCGTTAGTTACCTTTCAAACCCTTACGTTCACTAGATGAATATATTTCCTACCTTATATTTGAGTGAGACCACTAGATTCCGTGTATTATGCGAGATATGAGCGGTTCCGTTCTCTGAGGCATTTGCACTCTAAGTTCCCATACTGACCGACCTGGCCAATGCACCACTTTTCATATACATATGCGTTAGATTCCTTCCGAACCTTATTAGCTCACTATATTTATAAGGGCCTAAACCGTGAGAGTGCACAGTGGGATCAGCATCAGCAGCAGGGGCAGGAGAGGCGCCAGAAGTGAGGTCAAAGAGAGAGAGGCCGTCTGCCCTATCGCACTGTAAAAACAACTGCAGGTCGTCGACCCAGACCTCAAAGTCAATGGCGCGACCCTCAGCGTCAAAAGCTAGGACACTAGGGGTAGCCATGACGACGACAGCGAAGCAGTGCAAGCAGTAGGGGAAGAGCACGCAGTGACAGTGGGACTGTGCTCACCAGGCAGGGCAGCGCTGCAGAAGGGCGGCTCGGCAACTCAGCGACTCGGCTGCTGGGCGGCTCGGCTTCCGGGCGGCTCGGTGTCGGGCGGCTCGGGTGCAGGGCGGCTCGGCTCCCGGGCGGCTCGGCGGCAGGGCGGCTCGGCTGCACCGCTGCTCGGCTGCTGCAGGTGGGCGGCTCGGCTGCTGCAGGTAGGGTGACGGGGCCGTGAGACCAGGGGCGGCGGGGCCGGCGAAGCAGGGCCGGCAGGGGGGACGGCGGGGCCGCGTCTGAGCGGGCGGCAGGGCCGCGGCTGAGCAGGCGGCGGGGCCGCGTAGTAGTGGGCGGCGGGGCCGGGGCTGAGCAGGCGGCGGGGCCGCGTCAAAGCGGGCGGCGGGGCCGCGTCAAAGCAGGTGGCGGGGCCGCGTCGTAGTGGGCGGCGGGGCCGGGGCTGAGCAGGCGGCGGGGCCGCTTCAAAGCGGGCGGCGGGGCCGCGTCAAAGCATGCGGCGGGGCCGCGTCGAAGCAGGCGGCGGGGCCGCGTCAAAGCAGGCGGCGGGGCCGAGTCAGAGCAGACGGCGGGGCCGCGTCAAAGCGGGCGGCGGGGCCGCGTCGTAGCGGGCGGCGGGGCCGCGTCTGAGCAGGCGGCGGGGCCACGTCTGAGCGGGCGGCAGGGGCCGCGTCTGAGCGGGCGGCGGGGCCGCGTCGTAGCGGGCGGCGGGGCCGCGGCTGAGTAGGTGGCGGGGCCGCGTCTGAGCAGGCGGCGGAGCCGCGATCAAAATGGGCGGCGGGGCCGCGTCTGAAGGGGCGGCAGGGCCGCGAGGGAAGGGCGACACGGAGGGTCGCTCGAGCGAGAGGAAAAAAAAAGCTAGCGCGCCTCAAGGCGCGCTTCGGTGGGCCATAGGCGCGCGCCTCAACCCTAAACCCTAAACCCTAAAGTTCCCACAGGGAACCCGCTCTATACCATGTGAAACTTGTAAAACAGGAATGAATGACTAAGTCAAGGTTGGGTACAAATACAACCCTAGAAAGCTGTACCCCATATGTGCTACCCCACTATAGCCTACAAACATGCATCAGCTATAGTAATCTGACACTACCTTCTATTTGAGTGAGACCACTAGATTCCGTGTACTATGCGAGATCTGAGCGTTTCCGTTCTCCGTGGCATTTGTACTCTAAGTTCCCATACTGACCGACCTGGCCAATGCACCATTTTCTATATACATATGCATTATATTCCTTTCGAACCTTATAAGCTCACTAGATTTATATATTTCCCACCTTCTGATCAAGTGAGACCGCTAGATTCCCTTTAGTTTTGAGAAATGAGCGTTTCCGTTCTCCTTGGCCCTACTTGCACTATAAGTGCGAAATGCCAGCCAGACTGGCCGATGCACCATTTTCTCTACACATGTGCGTTAGTTACCTTTCAAACCCTTACGTTCACTAGATGAATTTATTTCCTACCTTCTATTTGAGTGAGACCACAAGATTCCGTGTACTATGCGAGATCCGAGCGTTTCCGTTCTCTCTGGCATTTGCACTCTAAGTTCCCATACTGACCGACCTGGCCAATGCACCATTTTCCATATACATATGCATTAGATTCCTTTCGAACCTTATTAGCTCACTAGATTTATATATTTCCCACCTTCTGATCGAGTGAGACCGCTAGATTCCCTCTACTTTTTGAGAAATGAGCGTTTCCGTTCTCCTTGGCCCTAGTTGCACTATAAGTGCGAAATGCCGGCCAGACTGGCCGATGCACCATTTTCTCTACACATGTGCGTTAGTTACCTTTCAAACCCTTACGTATACTAAAAATTTATTTCCTACCTTCTATTTGAGTGAGACCACTAGATTCCGTGTACTATGCGAGATCTGAGCGCTTCCGTTCTCCCTTGGCATTTGCACTCTAAGTTCCCATACTGACCGACCTGGCCAATGCACCATTTTCTATATACATATGCATTAGATTCCTTTCGAACCTTATTAGCTCACTAGATTTATATATTTTCCACCTTCTGATCTAGTGAGACCGCTAGATTCTCTTTACTTTTTGAGAAATGAGGGTTTCCGTTCTCCTTGGCCCTACTTGCACTATAAGTGCGAAATGCCGGCCAGACTGGCCGATGCACCATTTTCTCTACACATGTGCGTTAGTTACCTTTCACACCCTTACGTTCACTAGATGAATATATTTCCTACTTTCTATTTGAGTGAGACCACTTGATTCCGTGTACTATGCGAGATCTGAGCGCTTCCGTTCTCCCTGGCATTTGCATTTTAAGTTCCGATACTGACCGACCTGGCCAATGCACCATTTTCTCTATACATGTGCGTTGAATACATTTCAAACCTTTTTAGCTGACTAGATTTATATATTTCCCACCTTCTGATCGAGTGAGACCGTTAGATTCCCTCTACTTTTTGAGAAACGAGCGTTTCCGTTCTCCCTGGCCCCACCTGCACTATGAGTGCGAAATGCTGGCCAGACTGGCGGATGCACCATTTTCTCTACACATGTGCGTTAGTTACCTTTCAAACCCTTACGTTCACTAGATGAATATATTTCCTACCTTATATTTGAGTGAGACCACTAGATTCCGTGTATTATGCGAGATCTGAGCGGTTCTGTTCTCCCAGGCATTTGCACTCTCAGTTCCCATACTGACCGACGTGGCCAATGCACCACTTTCCATATACATATGCATTAGATTCCTTCCGAACCTTATTAGCTCACTAGATTTATATATTTCCCACCTTCTGATCGAGTAAGACCGCTAGATTCCCTCTACGTTGTGAGAAATGAGCGTTTCCGTTCTCCTTGGCCCTACTTGCACTATAAGTGCGAAATGCCGGCCAGACTGGCCGATGCACCATTTTCTCTACACATGTGCGTTAGTTACCTTTCAAACCCTTACGTTCACTAGATGAATATATTTCCTACTTTCTATTTGAGTGAGACCACTTGATTCCGTGTACTATGCGAGATCTGAGCGCTTCCGTTCTCCCTGGCATTTGCATTTTAAGTTCCGATACTGACCGACCTGGCCAATGCACCATTTTCTCTATACATGTGCGTTGAATACATTTCAAACCTTTTTAGCTGACTAGATTTATATATTTCCCACCTTCTGATCGAGTGAGACCGTTAGATTCCCTCTCCTTTTTGAGAAACGAGCGTTTCCGTTCTCCCTGGCCCCACCTGCACTTTGAGTGCGAAATGCCGGCCAGACTCGCCGATGCACCATTTTCTCTACACATGTGCGTTACTTACCTTTAAAACCCTTACGTTCACTAGATGAATATATTTCCTACCTTATATTTGAGTGAGACCACTAGATTCCGTGTATTATGCGAGATCTGAGCGGTTCCGTTCTCCCATGCATTTGCACTCTAA